ACCCCCCCCCCCCCCCGAAAAAAACAAAGAAAAACAAAAACAAAAAACAACCAAAAAAAAACCAACAACCAAAAAACCCCAAAGAAAACATAAAAACAATAACAATAACAAAACCCCCCCAAAAAAACAAAACAACAACAACAGACAAATTAACAGTAAGGCGTGTCAGATTCTCCACACAAGACAAACCCTGCTTAACAAAATAAACTGCAAAAAACTATAATACTTTGGTTACTTAAAACGACACCAGACCATTGTGAAAAAGGTCCTTAAAGAAAGGATGTGGGGCAGGAGAGCCAGGGGTAGACAAAAAATAACATGGATGGACAACGATAAAACATTGACTGGCCTGGGTTTAACAGAGTGTGCAACGACGGCTCGCGACCGTGATGGTTGAAGAGTCATTACTCGTCAACCTCGGAGTCAGAGAGAACAGCTCCAGGTATTCCAGGTATGCTTATCTCAAGTTTCCAACCACTTCCGGTTCTTCTCTCTCCCCATTGATAAAACGGTCAACTGTAGCCTTCTGAAATTGAAATTTGCCGCTTCTGAAAATTGCGTTTAAAACCAAACTCGTCTCTATCCTCACTTTGTTGGTTGGTGTGGGGGTATCATCTCTCTCGGAGGCGTCTTGGGTTGACGTGGAATGATCCACCACTCCTTCGGTATTGACAGGTGCTCCAGTGCACTGTTCCAATGATCGTGCTGTAATTGACTGTATGCTGTCAGTCCATAGAAGACTCTGCCTCCCAACTGTTCTCAACCTGACCTACAGCGTCTGCTTGCATATTTTCTCGAAAATACTTCACATCATTTGCTTCTACACAGTAAGTGCATCAATGGGGACATAAGAAACAGAATCTCGCAAGCATGCTGTCCCTATGGAGTCTGTAATATTGATAAGGGCGCTTCTTATGATCACCGTCACAGGGCTTGCCAAGACAATCCTGGCACAAAACATGGAGATATAATATAAGATAGATTAATCTTTATATATCGTCCTGACAATGGCACGCACAATGGTCAGGTGTTTCAACATAAAAACACACACACACACAGACACACACGCACACACACACACACACACACACACACACACACACACACACACACACACACATACACACAGACACACACACACGCACACACACATACACACACACTGGTTACATCATCTAACAGTATAGACCAATTTCAGCTTATTTTTCTTTATTTTTTAAAATTAACATACAAAACAAGCAATTTTGAAACCCTTTTTTTCATAAGAGCATCATAACTAACAAATATAATACAACGCACAAAGATATAGTATAGATCTGCAAAGTTACAAAAGAAAGCTTCCTTCTGCTGTTTCACTCCACAGTGTTAATGCTGACCTACCAATTATTGTTTGAATTGCATAAAAATAAAATTTTCCAGAGCTTCAAAGGATAAAAAGTACGTTTGAAGAAAAAAGAGATCGAAAGATCATGAGAAACTCTCTCTGCAAGGGATAAGGTGCTGTTATGAGCTTTTTGAGATAGGAGATGGAGCGATCATCCCTTTCAAATTCTTTGAGCTGTTAGCCGCTGGATTTGAGGTTCAAGATAATGATAATGGCCTTTGGATGTCAGCCGACATGGAATCCGATCACGTAAAAATTTCACCCCTCCCCGTTCTTTTAAACACGCACACACGCACACACGCACACACGCACGCACGCACACACACACACACACACACACACACACACATACACACACACACACACACAGACACTCACACACACAAAACACACACACATACACACAACACGCACAGTACACATACTCACACATAATCTTGAAAAAAGGAATATGACCTGTAGGTTCCCTCTCCCAATAAGGACTTTTTGAAGAAAAAAAAAGGATTTTCTTATGTTATTTTCTAGTGAACGATTGATTTGACTACTGACCAGAAATTCTAGCTTATAAAGATTGCAGGAGGATTCGAAGAAGACTTTTCCAAATCATAACCCAACATGATGCTTACTGAGCATAAGTTCATGGCTCTCCCACGTCGTTTAAAACTATTTAGGGACATGGAATCAAGAATTGAGATTGTATTGTCCAGCTCCCCCCTCCCTTCCACCCCGATGCTTCCTGTGTATTTTTTCATATTTTTAAACAATAACGCAAGTAGTGGACAAGAAATGCTTTCTAATAAGTTTGTATCTCATGAACCAACAGCAAACACAGCCCCCCTGCAAAAGTTGTTAAAGTAAGATATAATTTTGTTATTTCTCTTCCCGAAAAAAAAATTAATAGTGAGCTTTCATCAGTCACTGCGACACGAATGAAATACACTGAGCAATCTTGTCAATGTGGGCGATATCGTCCCCTGGTAGGCGATTTGCTAATTTTGGTGGGAGGTGGGAATCGCCTGAGTAGTGACGGGAATTATTCAATACCCGGTTTGAGAATTATTCATTATGTGGGTGGAAGGTACAGCAAGGTTGACAAGCCCTGCATTAGATTAGACTATCATCCCCCCCCCCCCAAATCCCTTATTCATTTCTCATTTTTTCTGTTCGTGTGTCTATTGCTTGTCAGTTTCTCTCTCACTCACTCTCTCTCTCTCTCTCTCTCTCTCTCTCTCTCTCTCTCTCTCTCTCTCTCTCTCTCTCTCTCTCTCTCTCTCTGTCTGTCTGTCTCTCTCTCTCTCTCTCTCTCTCTCTCACTCACTCTCTCTCTCTCTTTCTCTCTGTCTCACACTTTCTTTTTCTCTCATTGTCACTTTTTCCTGTCTTTTTACTTATACCGCGCGCTGTCCCCCCCCCCCCCCCCCCAAACAAGTCCACAAGACACACTTCCCGAGTTTCTTTTTGAAAAGAGAACAGTTGGAACCGACGTAGTTTTTTTTCTTTAGTGTTGTGTTGGGGGGTGGGGTGGTATGTCACATTTAAGAAGCATAATGCCCTCAGAGGGAGTAGAGAGGAATGTAGAGAAGATCCAATGCTGTTAATTCCTTAAGGAGGAGAGACAAAATAAGCTGAGCTCAATCCCACCAACAACCCCTTCTAGTGGAGAAAAAAATAGAGAAAAACCGCGACAGGGCGTATCAGGGTAAGAAGAAGACAGGAGACCCGCCGCCGCGAGGTTTCAGAAAGAGAATTTTAAAGATAGGT